CGTAGGGTCCCCCTTGGTCACGGCTACGTCACCGGGAGCAGGGGACACCCGCCACATCCCTCCTCGCTTCACCCGGCCCTTCTCCAGGGAGACGCCTTTCCAGAGGCACCTCCAGGATCCCCAGGAGAAGCGGGACGCGCTTCCCATGGGATGCAGAGAAAGGCAGCGGATGCAACACCGAGCTGCTGGAATCTCCTTCCCTGTCGATGCTCCAAACCCGGCGCTCCATGCCCGAGGTGCCCCTGCGTGATCCCCAGCCGGCCGTGCCAACCTCGGCAATTCCCTGAGATAATTCCCTTTGATCGGCACTCTATCAAGCTGTAAATCAGCAGTAAATTCCTCAAGAGCAGACGCTGCCGCGGGCGCCCGGTGCCGCATTCCTGAGCACGGCATGGGGGGTTGGCACCAGGACAGCATTCCCGCCAGTGGGAGCGCCAGGACAGAATTCCGCCCGTGGGAGCGCCGGGACAGTATTCCCGCCCCCCGGAGCCTGCGCTTCCCGGCTGCCCGTGGCAATGGTGCGCGGCGTGGGGACACAAGCGGAGGGCAAAGCGGTGAGGGTGCTGGGAGAGGGGACACAGGCCTCCGAAATCCGGGCGGCCTCTGGATCCCAGCGGCCTCCGGAATCCTGGTGGCCTCCACACCCTGGTGGCCTCCAAACCCCGGTGGCCTCTGAACCCCGGCGGCCTCCGAACCACCTGGCGGCCTCCGAACCCTCAGCGGCCTCCGAATCTCGGCAGCCTCCGCACCCCGGTGGACTCTGAAACCCCGGGGGCCTCCACACCCCAGCAGTCTCCAAAACCCTGGCGGCCTCTCAAACCCCGGTGGCCTCCGCACTCCGGCAGCCTCCACACCCCGGCGGCCTCCGAAGCCCCGGCGGCCTCTGAAACCCTGGCAGCCTCCACACCCCGGCGGCCTCTGAACTCCGACGGCCTCCGAACCTCCGGCGGCCTCCGCACCCCTGGCAGCCGCTGAACGTCCAGCGGCCTCCAGACCCCCGGCGGCCTCCAAAACCCCAGCTGCCTCCGAACCCCGGTGGCCTCCAAACTCCGGCGGCCTCCGAACCACCCAGTGGCCTCTGAACCACCCGGCGGGCTGCAGAATCCCGGTGGCCTCCGGAACCCCGGTGGCCTCTGAACCCCTGGCAGCCTCCAAAACCCGGTGGCCTCCAAATCCCCTGCGTCCTCTGAACCCCCGGTGCCCTCTGAAACCCTGGCAGCCTCCAAAACCCCGGCGGCCTCCAAAACTCCGGCAGCCTCCGCACCCCGGCGGCCTTCATACCCTGGCAGCCTCCGAAACCCCAGCGACCTCCGCACCCCGGTGGCCTCTGAAACCCCGGCGGCCTCCAAAATCCCTGCAGCCTCCGAAACCTGGCGGCCTCTGAACCCTGGCGGCCTCCGCACCCCGGTGGCCTCCAAAACGCCAGCGGGTCCCATGTCCTCCAGGAGGCTCTGGGGAGGCACTCAAAGGGCTCCGGGGTTCCGTGGAGGAGAAGGGAAGAGCAGGATCCTGCCTGGGATGGGCAGGATTTGCAAGGCTCAACATGTGGCTTACCAAAAACCAGAACCCAACAAACCACGTTTGGGCACTCAATTCTTCACTTCTATTTTCTGGGATGAATAGGGAATGAAAGAGCCTGGGTTTTGGGGTGGCTCCTTAAGTGGGCAGAGGGCCCAGCTGGGGCAGGGCCATCCCCTTGGGTCGGCAGTTAAGCCAAGCTTAACTCTTAAGTGGGCAGAGGGCCCAGCTGGGGCAGGTCCCCTTGGGTCAGCAGTTAAGCCGAGCTTAACCCTTAAGTGGGCAGAGGGCCCAGCTGGGGCAGGGCCGTCCCCTTGGCACCCTCCGCTTCCCCCGGAGCCACGGGGCTGGGTGCAAACAGGGGTGCCGGGCACCCAGCAGCAGCACCCGCAGCCTCTGGGTGTCAGATTAGGAGAGCCCCAGTTTAAAGCAGCGCCAATTCAGGTGATTTTTAATGGTGCTGCTTCTCATCGGCCTAAAACCGAGCATTATTAACTTAGGCCTGGTGCTATGCTTTAATTGGCTGGTAGGAACCATAGGCAGTGAATTCTTTCACCATAGACAGTGATTTTTTTCACCATAAACGGTGAATTTTTTCACCATAGACAGTGAATTTTCTTACCATAGACAGTCAATTTTTTCACCACAGACAGTGAATTTTTTCACCATGGGCAATGAATTTTTTCACCATAGACAGTGAATTTTTTCAGCATAGACAGTGAATTTTTTCACCATAGGCAATGAATATTTTCACCATAGACGGTGAATTCTTTCACCATGGGCAGTGAATTTTTTCACCATAAACAGTAAATTTTTTCACCATAGGCAGCAAATTTTTTCACCACGGGCAGTGAATTTTTTCACAATAGGCAGTGAATTTTTTCACCATGGGCAGTGAATTCTTTCACCACAAACAGTCAATTTTTTCACCACAGACAGTGAATTTTTTTCACTACAGACACTGAATTCTTTCGCCACGGGCAGTGAATTTTGGGCCGCTCTGGAGCGGACCCGCTTCGGGACACAGAGGGCGGCGCGTGGACGGGAGCCACGGAGCCGGCGGCGGGGACGGCACCGGACGAGGCCGGCGGCGGCGGCGCCTACGACTAGGAGGAGAAGCACCTGCGAGGAAAGGGGAGGATGGAGCAACACGGCAGCACGGATGGACATGGAGTGACCGGGACGTTCTCCTGCCTGGGTGAATAAGCATGGAAGGACGTTGGTCCTACCTCGTTCCTCACGGAGATCTGTGAGGAGGAACCTGGCGTGAGGGTGACAGAGCCCTGGCACAAGTTGCCCACGGTGGTTATGGAGTTTCCTTCTCTGGAGGTCTTCAAAACCCACCTGGATGCCACCCTATGTCATGGGTGTCCCTGCTGGAGCAGGTTTGCTGGACTAGATGATCTCCAGAGGTCCCTCCCAACCTCAACCATCCTGGGATTCTGCTATTTCCTCATAAGACTGTTCCCTAATGCCAAGGATAGGGACTATTTTACTTCACAAAGGAGAAAAAGAGGGGATGAAGAGACTTGGCCGAGGTCACAGAGCGAGGGCGCCCGACGCCTGCGCTGCCACCCAAGTCCTGCTGCTGCTCCCTGCTTCACCCCGGGCACGAGGTGGGTCCCCTGTGCACCAGGGTCCCAGCCCAGGCGGGCTCGCGCGGTCCCGTTCCCATTGGTGCCATCGGAGGGAGGAAAGGAGCCACCCGGAGACGCGGAGGTCCTCAGGAGGACCCAAGGAGGTCCTCGGAGCCCCTTCGGAGCAGGTCTCCAAGGAGCCATGGCTCTCTGTGCCTGATACTACCGCAAGGAAGCTCTCTTTGCTTCCACCAGGAAGCCAATGAAAGCCAGGAGCTGGAAACGACAAGTTCCACCATCGCCATCTCCTTGCGTTATCCCTCCCCTGAGAGGTGGGATATGGACCATGGAGGGTTCCCCAGAGGGTCTCCTCGCACGAGAGAGACGTTATGGAAACAAAAGGTGGGCAAATCATGAAACGAAGGCCCCAAAGGGCACAAGGAACCTACGAGAAAGGACACCCGGGCAAGCAGCAGTTGTGAGACACGGCAAGAAGGGGCTAGAAAAGAAAGAGCGATAATATACCCAAAGCTCTCAGTGCGACAGCGGATCCCAGAGGTGACATCAGGAGGGGGCAGGTCGGGGGTGGAGTCCATCTGAAGGAGATAAGAGGAGGTGGTGTGATGGTAACAGAGAGGGTGGACATGGCAAGCAGGAGCAGATGCGGTGGCGGCGGATGAGGAGCAAGGAGCGGAAGAGGTGGCGGAGGCGGCAGGTGAAGGGCTGGTTCCGTGAAGGTCGGAACTGAAAGACTGTCCGGACGTGAGGCTGTGCATTCGCCGGAGGGAGACTCTGCCCGCCAGGAAGCGGGCGGCCTGGCCCGCCTCGGGGTGGCCTGGCGCGGAACCCTCTACCAACCTCTGAGATCCGTGCGCGTGTTGGGGGTCCACCAGGCGCTGGCGAACGGTGCTGCCCAAGGCCGGAGCTGCGGAGAGAAGACGGGAGAGACGTTGAATGAGGTTGGGATGGACCGAGGAACCGCGTGTCCGCGTGCCCCTGCCACCCCCGTGGCTGCGCTCCCCGTCGTGCCCGTTTGATGCGGGAGAAGCATTAAGTCGATGCGACCGTTTGACATGCTAGATTAATGGCCGGCCCGTGGCAATCCCTGCTTGCCATTGGTGACACAGGTGCTTGCTGAACACCTTATCCCATCATCTTGCTTGAGATGGAAACCAGCTGCGAGGTTCCCAGCTTTCCATGAGAGCTTCCACTTCAGTGTCTAGGAGAAGCCGGGTCCTTCCCGGCCGTTCTCCCTTAAACAGGAGCCAGGGTGCCCAGCTCGGGGCGGGCAGGACGCAGCTCTGCTCTGGGTGCCCCCAGTTTGGTGCCCTTGGAGTGATGCACACGAGTGCAGGACCCTGCTCAGGGCCACCCATAAACCGGGTGCTCCAGGGCAGCAAAGGGGCCGTGCACGGCAGGGACCTTGCGCCTTGCAGCTCTTCTGCAGCACCGACGGGCTGGCACGCAGGGCTTAGACACATGTCGCACATAATGGCTTAAACAGGGAGCCACTGGCTTGGCTTAAACGGGGAGCCACTGGCTTGGCTTAAACGGGGAGCCACTGGCTTGGCTTAAACGGGGAGCCACTGGCTTTCATCACGCTGCACACCTGGAATCACAGCCCTCGCCCCAAAGCCATAACATTAGGTCCCGGCTTGCTTTAGAATTAAGTTCCCTGCTCGCGGAGATGCTCGTTTTGGAAAATATTGCTCTTTAACTGCAAATTCGTCTTGGAGAGTCTCCCTCCCTGTGCTGTCACCAGGTGTTTAACAGGTTCCAAGATCAAACCCGTCCTTTTGGCCACCTCGTTGTCCCTTTGAGATGACCTAGGCCAGGGAGCTCAGCCTATTCTCTCTGCCTCTAAGCTATACCCAGAGCTGCAGGCAGGCGACAGCCCTTGGACAGGTATTTCTCCTTGGAAGGAGCTTTTTGCACGGTCATTTACATTCAGCAAAGTATATTACACATATATAGTGCATATATCATTATTATACATTGAAACACCTCTGTATCCACTAGGCTGCATCACTGTGCTGCAGACAAAAGTGATTCTGGTTGCATTTCACCTGCTGGAGGCAGTTTCCACACAAGATGTTCTTTCTTTTGCAGGAGATAAGGTGTTCAGGCTCGTGGGCAGGAGTAAGAAACGGTTAAAAAGGTGGATAGAAAAGCTGAGGAATGAAACCGAGGGAGAGCTCCTTCGGGAATGGAAGAACCAGCAAATCCCTGCTGTAAAAACATGGTCCTGGTAAATACAGGTCTCCGGCAGCAGCTCAGGTGGCGGAGAGATCATCGCTGGGACATCTTGCACATAAACGAAGGAATAAAAAGGAGTAATTTAAGCAATATTCCCCTTTGCACATTGCCAGGAAGAGGGAATCCCAGCTTTGCTCAGAGGGCCCTGCGGCTCCGTTTCCTTGCCCTGGGAAGGTCCCAACGCGCTGGCCGCTGCATGGATGGGGCAGAGAGGAGCCTCACAATGGGCAGGGTTGGAGCTCTGCAGAATGATTCCCTGCGGGATTGGAGCTCTGCAGAATGATTCCCTGAAGGATTGGAGCTCTGCAGAACGATTCCCTGCGGGATTGGAGCTCTGCACAATAATTCCCTGCAGGATTGCAGCTCTGCAGAACGATTCCCTGCGGGATTGCAGCTCTGCAGAATAATTCCCTGCAGGATTGCAGCTCTGCAGAATGATTCCCTGCAGGACTGCAGCTCTGCAGAATGATTCCCTGCGGGATTG